TTTTCTTTCCATCTCCCAATCCACCTCATTCCAATATCAACATAATCATCAGCCCCCTCCCTCCCCCTCTCCCACCATACGCAATATAACGACAGATCATGCCTTAATCCGCCACTAGAATAAAAAAGTAATCCTCAGGATATTTGAATGGAGAATTTTCTAGAAAAAGTCGAACATCCAGGAGTATTATGAAATATTCACCGACACCAGCGTTTAATGGGCCACACATTGGTGTTTGAACGCGTGCATGAAGAGGCGGTTAAGAGGCTGGAGTGAGTAGTCAGGAGCAGGAGGAAAATAGGGATAGGAGGCTTTTCCGTGAACATCGCGTATACGTATAGCTCGGACCTCACGATGGCTCTCTGATAGAGAAAACATGTTACACCTCACCACTGCGCATACAAAGTGGCCGCTTTTCGCATTCAAGCATATACTCCCCCCTCCCTTTTTCTCCCCATTACCCCCTACCACCCTGTGTTCCTTTCCCCTCATTTTCCAACCCCTTCTGGTGTAGTCCCCAGCGTCCACTCCCATTCTGTATAACTCCCTCATTTCCAGCTAACTCTCCCTCCTCATCCTTTTCCACCCCCATCCCACTTGGGTTCCACACCTTTCCCTTCATTTTACTCCTGGAGTTCACTTCATACACCTCATTTCCTTCTTCACCAAATGGCACGTTGAGTATCACCAGTTTACCACCATGTTTTCATGCGAATCGGTCTCACCGATTTTTCATATGACTTTTGCTGATATCAGATGTTTTTATTATTCCTAATTGTAGAATTAATCCTGAGTGGCTAGGTGCAAACGTGGTCTTTTGGAAATTTCCCTTCAGGTCGTACTTTCCAATCGGAAAATGTGAAATCCTAACATTGTCATAAAAAAATCCTCGATTCCTCATTCCCATCCGATTCAATCCTGACGCGATCCTTAAGTCATCCGGATTTTTCGATAGCTCTCACTTCCCCGATCCCTCCACTTAAATTCTGAAAACTCAGTAATTCCAATAAAAACCTCGTGAATTCCTAAAATTGCGGAATAATACCTGGCGAAATATCTTTTTGCGGTGGATTTATTATTCACGAATGGCGACTATTCTGACGCTCTCGTTCATTGCAATGCAAAAATATCTGTTGCTATCAAAGCAAACGGCAGTTGGATTGCTTTCACATGACCGAAACACCGTAAAGCACCGAGCAAATAATCTGAAAGTATAATGACAGAGGTATCGAGGTAAAAAAAAAATATCCGATGGGAAATGTGATAGCAGGAGAAAATATTCGATTACACACCGAGTGACAAAAGAGAGAGACATTGAATTTTAGCATGAACGTCTCTCTCGATACATGAGGGCATCCTCTCCGGTTGCACGATTGTACTGTGCCCCCATTGCTCTTCCTCAACGAGAAATTGAGAGGTGGTAAACCCACCCACTCTCGTGAAAATAGTATTTACCTCGGATTCACCTCCATCGCGAAAATAATCTCAGCCTCTACGTTTCATGGAAAAGGCACACTATACCATTCCCCTTCTAGACTCCATTAACGGTGGTAAATGTCGTGGAAATTCGGTTATAAAAGTAAAGCCACTGGCATCAACCCACTAGTCTCGGTGAAGTACTAGAGGATAGAAAATATGTGGAAGATTCAGTGAATCGTTTTCAAGGGCAGAAAAACTTTCATCATAAATATGTCGATTGTCATATTTCGGGGCTTCCTTCTCTCTTACCAAATTGAACTTTTGCCTAGACTTGTCTTTTTTATAACGCAGACTTTGCAATATGGTAAGTTGGAATTTGCAGGAATTCTATAATTTGGAGAAAGACTTTCCCCCTTGACTTGCGTTTTTTTTCTAATCACGATATTGACTTCACGTCTCACGTCTCAAAGCGAACCTTTCAGGTCCCTTGAAAAATTAAAAAAATGTCATTTTCCAAAATCAAGTTCTAACTTTCAAATGGTCGGTAATCCAGAGGGAAATATGGTTGTAGGAAATTTCACGGAATTATCACATAATTTTTATTTGAATTATCTGTGAAAAATTACGATACCACCATTTCAATTTTTCGAGTCGATTCCGTAATCGGTAAGCGAACTGAAAGTTCCGTAATTTTTATTGGATATTTCTCTCCGTGCACTTTTATTGCAATTGCATTTACATAACGAAATGAAAAATGTGTGCAGAGATCAGAGAATAACGACTTCAGACTTCTGAAAAGTAATCGAAGAAAAGTATTCGTGTATGTTGCAATTTTATTTCATCCGTATAAACTTTTTAATATAAAAAATATCTCCTCTGTGTGAAATCAGTGATCACTGTGTCATTCATTTCCTGTGGAATTGTTCTCAATAAGACAGCCGCAATCCTATGGAATATTCAATGGTCAATGAATAACGTCACAGTTGACTGACTCGTTTGAAATAAAAATTCATAAAAAAAATCGTCACCTGAGAAGGAATGGAGAGTGGACATTTTCCATCACGGTAAAAATGAATCGTTCACGGATCACTGGAGTGATTTTTCATCAAATCGAAAATACCGAGAGCAGAGGAAAAAAATGTTGGTGTTCCCTCAAAAATGAAGGGAATAAATAAAACAATGGCAATGGGTGCCGAATGGGAGGAATGAATCAATGATAATGGGGCGTAGAAAGGGATGGCTAGAGTCCAATTGCCGTTATTAAAAGTCACTCGACAAATTTATTCGAGCGAAAATTTATTGCATTTGTCAATGATTTTTGGATGATAATCACACGATAAGTCACTAATTTTCCTCTTAAATGAAGTATTCCTTTTTACTGAATCGTTTTATTATTTGTAATCGGAAATTTTAATTAGTCATCTATGAGAGAATTGCAATTGAGTTTTCAACTGTAAAAGAACTAGAGAAAATTTATTCGAGTAAGAATTTACGACATTTAATAATGATTTTTGGGGGATAATCGCAGGATAATCCCCTAATTTTCCTCTGAAATGAAATATTCGGTTCAACCGAGATATTTAAAAATTTATTTAAACTGTGAGACGATTGCAATTAAAACTTCAACAGTCAAAGAACTTGAAATTTCCCACAACGACAAAGCAACGTAAAATCTCTGTAGAATTTTTCATTGACGAAATTAATATCCTAATAATATAATATAATATCTATTGAAACTTCAAGCCACTTCTCCAAATTTTCAATTCATCGGCAATTGAATTGTATTTGATATTTATTTCGTGAGATAAGTGTGAAAATTCAAGTATCCACTAGAAATTTCTACGAAAAACGAGCTGTACTTGAAAAAAGTACATGAACATTCTCATTGCAAGCATGCTACTATATTTATTATTATTCCAAGTTAAAAATATTCCCTAGAATAAAGTACAAAATACATTACATACTCATTTCAAATAAAATCAATACTTGAATTAAATATAAAGTATACACATCACATAATACAATATTAATCTTACTATGAATATACTTATTTCAAGGTCGAAGTATACTTGACTGAGGAATAAATAGTATTGGATCGTATGCAATAAGATATACAAGTGTAGTTGTAAAATAGTTAAGGGTGGGGTGAAAGAATTGAATTGATTGAATGAAGTTCCACTTGTTGATCTCGTACAGTGAAACGGTACATGTTCTGTCGATGAGAACCCGAAGGAACACGAAGGAACACGGAGCGGTGGTGGATGATTCCTGCCAGGAGACTATAACCGAACATCCTATTGAATATAAAATCATGGGTAGAAAAGGGTCGAGATTTTCCGTGGGTCCACTCCTTATCAGTTCACGTTCGATGCATAAAGCATAAAGTTGCTATCTCATGCATACATTCATACTGTGAAAGTCATGACTTATGGTGGTTCGAGTATATGGCTACTGAAGTGACTGAGTGAACGTATATATCGTCATATATATGTAAACCTACTATTGGCAGTGGGAATCACCCAAGGGTGACGGAGGCACGTATCAAGTCCCTCACATCGATACCTTTCCAAATCGATCAAAATTCCATTTTCCATTCTCGAATTCATTTGATTCTTGTGTGAAATATCTCAACTTGCTTTTTATTCTGCCCACCTACTCTCATACCTCCATTTCTCCACACTTTTTTTTTCTCCTCTTTTCAGCATTTTTCCTTTTTTTTTTTATCATTCCTTTTTCACTTTTTTATCCCATCCTCTTTTTGCATCAATAATACTATCCCGTGCAATCGGATTTGAGGATTTATTCTTTATAAGAGTTTTAGTGCCTCGCGCAATTGCCAGTTGAGGGGGAATTCAATTTCGGATGGAAATTGGGTCAATTAACCGATTTCCAACCTTTTGGGGGGGATAATTCCCAAATAATTAACTTTTTTCTCGCTTTTCCGGGAATTCGGGGACAATGCCCTTTCGATTGAAACAATTTTTTTCAGTGTCAATGATCTACTACATTTTCAGGAGTACTGGACACTGAATTGCCTTAGTTAAAATTATATATTTATTTATTGATAAATGAAAAGAGGGCATCTTTCGGAATTTTCGCAGGAAATGGATTAAATTTCCTGGAGTTGATCCTAAAATTTAGGATATTTGACAATTAATTTTTTATTATAAAAAAATTGTATGCTTTCAATTTATCAAACTGCACGCAAGATTTCTGACGAATTATTTACTGATGAATTAATTTTGTAAATATTCAAGAATGAATCAATTGAGAACTGAATTTGAATATTTGATGATGAATATTTGACGTTGAATTTTCACTAGAGCTCGGAAAATTCCCACACTTCTAAAATTTAATAATCATTTAACACGGGAAACTCAATAGCCCTGAATTTTCGCGGTGAATGAAAGAATTAATGAACATTTCCAACTGAAATTTAATCCAAACCCGAATTATTAAAAATTCAGATAACATTGTGACCGAAAATTCCAAAAATTCCTAACAAAAGAAAAAAAGAAAGTTGAATTAATCGTTTATTCTTCAGCGAGACTGATAATTTATTATTCGGTGTTTCAGGTTTAACCTGACAGCAAGAAGTCCCAGGAATACTTATGGCTGCCCAAAAAGTCATTGCACTACTAGCCACTCTTCTCCATCTTAGCTTGAGTAAGTGATGAACATGCAATTGAACTTACAAGAAAGTATATTATATATACTTAGTATATAAGAGTATATAAGAGATATTAGTATATAAGACTCATCGAAATCGCATTAACAATCAAATATAATTTTCCCAAAATTTTTTAAAAATCAATTTACCGTTAACAATTCTTTTCAGTTATCTCTTAAAGCACTCAAAAATTCTACAACCAATAATTTCTCAACGAAATCGTATTGAGAATCACATATACTTCAACTACAATCAACTACAATTTTTCGGCGGATCCCCCCTCCCCCACCCCCTACCCTGAATATCGGTAATAACTCCCGGGCAAAATAATCTATAATTGAACTAACGTGTCAGATAATTCCCCATACGAAACAGCTTTTCAACAGCACCCATCACTCCAAACAACAGAATTTGCCTCTCAGTGATTCATTGTAGCATGCATCCACGAAAGTGGCGCACACACACACATACATGTACACGTATCCAGCCGTGAATGTACAGTGGGAGCCTAACTAAATCATGGTGGATTTAAGTGGATTCTACAAACCCCTTGGGTCCGAGAATGTATTACCCTGTACAGAGCCATTGCTCGAGGGGGGCAACGAGGGGGAGGGGAAGGAGGTGGGGGGGTACCCTATCCACTGCAACGCCCTCATTCAACCTTTTCTCTATACCCTACTGGATCCTCAAGAAAATCTGCAGTGTGCGCACATGTGTTTATATACATTTTTTTTTTTCCTCCTACTTTTTTTTATTCTCCTATTTTAGTTTCACTCGAAAACGTGTTCTCTCGCACAGTTCAAAGGATAGACACGCCCACTTCTCAGGATATATACCGTATGCCAAGGCGATGCACAGATGCACAGATGCACAGATGCACAGATGCACAGATTTTATTCAGTGGTGGAGAGGATACCGACATGTGAAGAATCTCACTGGGCAAAAGTTGTGAAAACTTTTATCTTTGGATTTATCCATTTTTAAAAACTCTTGAGCAAAATTTTTTTTCCATTTTGTCGAGCGAGGGGGGATCTAAGTTTCGTTTAGATATAGATGCGAGGCAAAAGGGATATTGAAGTTTTTGGGTGATTTGTCTTTTTTTTCTTTTTTGGTCTTGGAAGCGGGTGGTGGGCGCATGAGAGACGGGCATTTTTTAATTTATCGGGGATTTCCCGGGGGTGGGGGAGGGGGAAGTTTATAGATGGGGGAGGGGTGGCAATTGGTTTCTTCGATCAACTGCTGATGGAGAATTTTTTAAGAGCATTTCGTCATTATTCCTGCTGTTCTCCAGGAGATATCGCGTCTTCCTTTGAGATTTGGTACTTTATTATCTTTACAATTGCTTGAAAAATACGCAATTACTTTAATTAGAGAAATATTTAGTACTAATGACGAAATAATTCACATAATCCGTAAGAAGGAATCGTAATTCCTCAGGTTGATCGGTGAATAAAGAATACGGAATACTCACGTAATTTTACTCGAACGAGTAAAATCGAACAGAAAGTTCTCGACTTATTCCCGGAAAAATGAAAAATTCATGAAGGTTCAATTTTAATGGGGCTAGTGTGTTATTTGTTCTGTTCCGTAAAATTTCTCAATCGCTGGGGAAAAATGACGGAATGACTTGTTATCAAAACAGTGGTAGGCTATCAGACTAGTGGGCAATTCTTACGGAATAGATGATAGAATTAAAGTGACGGTTCGTAAAATTTCTTTTTCAACTCCCACATTTTGTTAATCTGATTCCCTCGTGGATCAATTCGAAACGTCATTTTTCCCCATCTTCTCCAGGTAATTTTCATTGGATCTTCCTCTCCATAGAGGCAATCACCTTTTGTCTCGATCCATACGACCTCTTCACGTGTATCTTGATTCCTCCAATCTATCCACATCAACATTCTCCATAAACCCAAAGAAAAAAAATGTTTGTTTGAAATACCGAAGAGGTAAAAATCTCATCGGCCACTATTCTCGTCCATTTGACGAGCGTTTTCTCAAAGACGCCATCAAAGTCTCATCTCCCATTGAAAAGAAAGGGAGTAACGATCAAAGAAGCCAAGCAAAGTAGTTGAAAACCCAGAAGAGTAGATCCAAAGGAAAAAGCGACTCCTCGAAGTAAATAAGCCCGAGTATTGATACTTGGACTTTATCTGAGTAACAGACCCACCCCGATAGTAAAATCAACCATTACTTCACCCCCCCCCCTCCCTCCCTCCCACCGCGAGAATAATACCAGAGACATTTTCCAACTGCACTTTGAAATTATTTTTATTCCATCCCCCAGAAATTCAAGTGATTCACTTTTTTCTCAACTCTCACGAGTTTTCGTGTCTCACCACGAGAATGAAAATGAAAATTTTCCAACGTGATTCTCAGCAGACTTGTACACTCCTTTGAATGTAAAGATGAAATTGGGAAGGGGTAAGAAAAAGGTGGAATTTCAGGAAGAACTGTTTTCGAGGAAGAGATGAAAGTTCAGTTCTCTGACTTGGGATTCGTAGGATACATTCTTGCTACCTGTCCCAAGCGAACGTTCCAATCTCCATGGAATTTCCGGTATTTTTCCACCAGGAGTGCTATTCTACTGTTGAATTTTATATAAAACGAAGAGAAATGCAGACGAATGAGTATAATAAATTTTTCAAATCCACCATATGAATTTTATTACCGAGCGCGTGGAAAATATATGAATTTCTGGTACCCTAACCACAGATATTGCTGATTATATTGAAAAAGTTTGCCCATTCTGCCCCACTTCAATAAAAATAAATGATAATAGCAAATGAGAGTACCCCATTTTGCATTACAAATTGTCCAACTCTCTGAGAATAATTCAACCCTCGGAACCCGCCAGAACTAATTTTTTTATTACCAATGAAAGCATGTGCACAGTTACATATTATTATTCTGGTATTTTCATTGTTACTGATAAATTAATAATTACTGTATCCATTTAAATGTTTCATTTGTCAATTTATATTTCAATTTGATTATCAATACGAAATTATGAAATGATCAAAAAAGGTTGAATTAGTTACAACTTTATCAAAATGTATTCAACCTTCAATGGTTTGCCTCTCACACAGTAATTAATCAATTATTATTATTATAACTAACAAGAGATAATTAGAATCAATAATGATATTGTACGAAATATTCGAAACTATTGTGAGATATTCATTTTGGTATATTCTAATCATTTGTTAATTTTATTCCATAACAATTTTAATTAGTAATTGTAATGATTTACTTATTCCATTATAAGAAACGTAATTCCCGGGAATTTCCCAGACAAATGAGAAATTTAGTGAGACAAATAGATTTTCCATCGAAATTCAATTTCCGCTCACATAATTGTAAATTGACGGGATTTTCTGACTGAAATTTGAAGAAATCCTTACAAGTGTTGCATCGATAGTAAAAACATCGGAATTATTTGTCCCCTTGGATTAATTTAGTCGTCATAAGGGGGGTGTACACCTGGGGAGTGTCAAGTGCGGTAAGAGTCGAAAGAGTAACGAAAAAGAAAGAGAAAAAAAAATGACCATTGTAAGAAAAAAAAAAGCGATAAGAGCCCGAGGAAAGTGGATGAAGCCCTGCCAAATTAGAATTCCTTGCGTGCCTCTGGCCAAGCTATAAAAGCTCCCCATGGAAACGACATTCCCTCCCTTCTCCATCTCACTCCCTGGATTACGATTCCAAGTCAAGAATTTTTCCATTTATCGCTCACACACTCTTCCACTCTTAGTTCACTCGTTTTTTTACTCTCAATTCGTTCACCCCCGCAGTGGCTGTCTTCAATCTTTGGATGAGTGCATACAAGAATCCGATGGAATTTCACAAGCATATGAAACAGCGGTTTTATTGCATTCAGGGCTCTGATACCTTCCATTCCCATCCACTCAGCTGAATGTTGTTATTTTTTTTCAGTAAGAAATCTGAGTCAATTGGATATTTTATCGGGCTAGAATAATTTTAATTGTTTTTCTGTTCATTTGGATTGATTCTAGGTCAGAGTCCACCGGAAGTGCTACCAGTGTTCCTTGCGCCCTTGGAGAATCACACGGTTACACAAGGACGGGATGTCTTCTTCACTTGTGTTGTTAATCATCTGCAAGGGTACAAGGTAAATTAATAAATAATAATTTTAGAGGTACTGCTGTTTTTTTATTCAATTCAATTAATAAATTGTTCTTTTCAAATGGATACAATCGTGCACCTATCAAGGATAATTGAAATGTAATTTTTATTTTGCTATCATTTTTCAATTAAAAGCGTTTGCAATTTTGTCGAACAATTAAAAATGTTGAGTGCTCATATTAAAATTAAAGGATTTTGTACTATTTAATTTATTCATAGTAAATGGTGGAATCGTAAGAAAATCAATTTTTTATGGATATGGTAATCAAAATGGAATAGACTATAGTAGTCAATTGTAATATATTCTTGAGTAAAGTCAATTGTTTTTCTGTCTTGTTGAAGTTTGAGTGATTAATGACCATTTTATTAAAATTTCTGCTTCACAGGTTGCTTGGATAAAGTCGGATTCCCGGGCAATTCTCGCAATTCACACGCACATGGTGACACACAATCCTCGATTGTCGGTTACTCACAATGGCCACAACACGTGGAAGCTCCATATCTCGAATGTACAGAATAATGACTCTGGTACTTATATGTGTCAGGTCAATACAGATCCGATGCGAAGTCAGGTGAGGAGTGCTCATTTGAAAGGTAATCGAAGCAAATGCACACGTGGAAAAATAAAAAGTCATGGAGCAAGTGGTAAAACACTGTTTTGCTCAGACCTAGAGGAAACTTTTCCATTCTTTAAATTCCGCATTTGAGGATTTTTTTAGTCCTCCCTCCGAGATACTCAGACAGAAATTTCCACATCTTGAGGAATTCATTGAAATTTCGGGGAATTCCTCCATTGAAAACACATTTTTCCCAAAAATTAATTTCTGTACTGTAAATATATTTCACGTAAATTACGTGATTGCTGTTGTACTCCGCGATTTTGACGTGTCGCAAATAACGATTTACCTAATTTTCCTGGTAATTTACCGGATATTTTTCTCCGTGGGACTGAAATTTCCACCAGCTTGCGCAAAAAATTGTAAAAATCACTAATAAAAATGAATTAATTAAAGATGGGACACATGACGGTCCAGATTCCACCCGACATAATGGACGATGATTCGACAGACGGTATGGTGACCCGAGAGCGTGGAAATATAAAACTCCGTTGTATAGCAACAGGAATTCCCAAACCGACGGTCACATGGAGGCGAGAGGACGGCCGAAACATAACTCTCCGAGAGGAAGGCCGTGAAAAATTGTGTAAGCTCTTTCACCCCCATCATCAGCGAATCCAATCCTTCCTAATTTCATCACAAAACGAAAAAGTGAGAAGGAGTGAATAGTCTCTTTGCTGGAAGTAGTATTGCCCGCGCAATCCGGCGCGGTAAATCGTTTCCACCATCTGGAGTCAGTAGCAACCCTTTCCCAAAAAGTTACAGGCATTTTCGCCTCTCCTAAAATAAACCGTACCAACATTCCCCTATTACCCAGTACTGTCCCTTGGACATCTTGAATTTACAGTTCTTGTGCTTTTCACCACACGTCTCCACCACCCCTTCATTACATCGCTCCCACGTCGCCCATTATCCTCGTAACTTTTTTTCTTTATTGCCACGGGTTTTTCATTTGAGCATCTCCGGGGATTGTCAGTGTTACAGTATTGATTTTTAGATCATTTACCCAAAATACTTGGATCAGGCATTTTTCAATCTTTTTATCTACGATTTCGCAAGTATTAGCGGGCAATTGTGCAATGTCAAATGTAATTATCGTTCGTGTGTACATTATAGTAGTCGAACATAAAACACGGAATTGCGTATTTTACTCAATCGAAGTAAATAAGTAAATATTATATAATGTATTCCACTGATCGCTACGCAATTGCCTGATGCTCAAAGTTCAATGACATTTGTTATATATGTTACTGAAGACTCATATTTAATATCACATATTGTATCACATATTTGAATTGATTCCTGTTTGCCAATGATAAAGTATCGTAAATTAAATGGCTCTATAACCGCGCGGGTTTTAAATAATATCCTTTGAAAAATGTAAAAAAATTTCGCTTACAGCTGCAAACAAAAACGTAATGAGAGGAAAAAATAAAATTCTTTGAAATCACTTTTTTTTTCAATATTCACATAAAATTTCACTGGCTCCAGTGGTAATGAAAAATAGAAATCCCCTGTTGATTTTTATGGAATATATTTTTTTATATTCGGGACCAATAACAGATCATTATTGCGTCATCCATTAAATTTCTTATCTATCAGGGTTCCTGATTAATTACAAATCCCTTGAAAATATTAATCTCTATTTTATGAATGAATTTGAATTTTCTTGCAGATATCAAATTATTGGAAAATTCAATTGCCGAAATATTAACATCAAATTTCCCAACTCAATTTGGATTTTCTCAAGCATATGAATATAAATATACTGCATCTCATCCCTGAAATATCCCGACAAGATCTGGAAGTGTTAAGTTCTTAATTCTCAATTTTCATATTTTTTCGTTTCTGTTCCTCCAGCGGTAAAAAGCTACGATGGAGAAACCCTCAACTTGACTGGTGTTATACGCCAGGAAATGGGCATATACTTATGTATCGCCAGTAATGGAGTACCACCAACCGTTAGCAAACGTTACTCCGTACAAGTGCACTGTGAGTACTCTCTTTGAACATTGTAATATTTTCCTAAAATATTTCCCACATGCAATTTTCTCTTCGTTTAATTCCGGAAAAAGTGCTAACACTTTTAGCTTTTTCTTTCATCCACTGGAATTGGATTCTCCAAAAATTGTTTATACTGTTGAAATTGCGCAAACAATTTGCGTAATCCGAAATATAAAGAACGATTTTCCGGTAGTTTTAAAGGAGTAGAAGAAAATAAAGTGGTAAAATAATAAAGTGGTCACGTCATTTTACCCGAACAAGTAAAATCTCACATAAAATTCTCGACTTATTGCCTGAAAAATGAAAAATTCATGAAGGTTAAATTTTGATGAGGTTGGTCTGTCGTTTGTACATTCTGTTCCGTCAAATTTCTCAATCGTTAGGAAAAAATGACGGAACGACTTATTGTCAAACCAGGAGTGAGTCATGAGACTGGTGGGTAATTATTACGGAATAGCTGGTAGAATTCACGTGACAGTTCGTACAATTTCTCTTATAACTCCATTTCATTGAACATTTTATTAAATTTCACTTCGCTCGCGGACTACAGTTCGAAACGGAATTTTTACGTTCTTCTTCTGGTAATTTTCATTGCATCTAACTCTGTTTACACAGTGGATAATCTACATTTATTGTATAATGATATTAGGATCTCCTTGTATTTCGTTTTTTTTTTCTTTTTTTCGCTTTTACTTTTGATGTTGGATGATTACGCTGACTTGTTTCCTACCGGATTTTATTGAATTGTTTCGGAATTACAGTTGCCCCAATGATAAAGGTGACGAATCAGCTGGTGGGAGCACCGGTTAATAGAAACGTGACGCTCCAGTGCTCCGTTGAGGCATCGCCACGTGCCATGAATACTTGGTTAAGGGATAAAGGTACAGTATTTCTCCATTTTTTTTTTCAACCGAACTCAAGAGACTTTAGAAATTACTTTCTACTCGACTTACGGGATTTGAACTAAGACCGAATGAAGGAGCGATGGAACTGAATTGTTTTTGTTAATGCGCGCTGATAGATCAATTCGATTGATAACAACAACATTCGGTAATAATTACCGAAAGATTCGTTGGACATTTCGAAAATTGATACCAATCCACGGAAATCCACTTTTGCGGGAAATTAAACAATTCTTCAATAATCAATAATTAATTATTAAAATTGATAATTTTCAATGCAATAAAAATCGGACAAATAAAACTCGAATTATTGACAAAAAAACCCAAAAAAAATCGAGAGATCGTTCCAAGTTCCGAATTTTTTAATGAAGGGATCCTTATTGAATTCCTAAAGTGGCGAAAGTTTCGTTGACTCGATTATTGTGGAATAGCCAGAATAAAAAAAAACCCCCCGTCTAATTATCTCTCAACGAAACAGGTGAAAAATTACTGCCAAGTGGAAAATACACGATGACAGAATTCCAGCAGAACGAGTACTCCTGGCAGATGAATCTGACTGTGCATAATTTAGAAAAAAATGACTTTGGCGGGTACTCATGTGGAGCCGTGAATGCCGTTGGGAAAGCAGAGGCCAGCGTACGTTTGCAAGGTAACGATGAATTAATCCATTCCCCCCTCATCCACCACTTCCATTCCCTAGGGCTATTAGCGTGAACTGTACGAGAATCGATAGATGGGCCAGTGGGTGGACGGGTGGTTCAGGTGCAACAGGTGTAGAGACGGAAAACGATCCTATGAAGTGGATTTACCACCTCCCCCAAACACACCCTCCAGCCCACCCTCCATCCTCATCCCTTTCTCAATACCAGTTAAGCTGCGTTTCAATCTGTGGAGAGGCTTTGGTACCCAACAAATGTTTGATTAATTCCTCTCTCTGGTTAATCGCCATTCACGTATGGATTGCAATCATTGATTGCCCGACACTTTTATCACCATCAGAATACTAATATAAACATAAAAAAAACAATAGATGGAACAATTGAATTAAACCTATTGTCAGCATCCACAGAATTACGAATTTTTATTTTATCTATCTTTATTCTTTACATCCACTTGCCTCAATTCGTATTACAAAATGTTTACGGATTCCAATACCAGTACCGACTCTTAATTTCTTCATAATTTCATTATTCTATAATATTATTGCATTATTCTGCGACATTAATTCGTAAGTCTGGTGCATAGAATTGCAGAATAATTAATTGATGATTGTAGAATTGGAGCTAGTGACGGAGACAACACCAGGACCAGTGTCTCGTCATACCGATGGAAAAATGCGTAAGAAGCTGAACGGAAAGAAGAAGTTACACAGAAGGCCGTACGATCACCAGGAAGAGACGGATAATTACCTGAGTGGAATTGAGGATTTGGGTACGACTCAAGTGATGGGTGGTAGCACCCAGGAAGGTCACAGGACCGAAAGGCCATTCTCATTCAGTGAGAGACCTTGGGTAACCATGGTATCATCCACACAGAGACTTTATCCATCATTTCACGGAATTTTTCTTCTGCTATTTGCCTCGCTGTACTCTTATCTAATTACTATTTAAATTAATCATCTGCCAAAATAATGTATATATGAGGGAATCTAGTACCAGTGCTGGGTAAAATAGAATTCCAATGACCCAATTAATTTATTTATTAATTCATTGATTGATATATCCGTGTCAACGATCTGAATAATTTTAAACACTTAGACAACTATTTCATTTCATGTTCGTCAAACGAGTCAAACAAATTTACTACGGAATATGTTGGGAAATATTTAGACATGTGACCGCGCAGAATGAACTCAAAATATTTCACATATTTCGCCATGACGATTAGTTCTCCGTGAGATATTACCCAGCTCTCATACGCAGCCAGTTGAAATTAATTTAACGACTATCGTAATTGAAGTGGGCGTGTAATGATACGAAATATATGCGGGTAAAACTCTGCGGACCCATATTTGTTCGATTAATCGAGCATTTAACGGTGAATTATCCGAGAATTTCTGGCTTTGCAATTTTTTCATCAATTACCCATTGATCAATAGCCAGTGGATTACAACTGGAATTAATTGATCGCCATTTCCATGGGGTTCGGAGGGAGTATTACCGATAATTATCGTGATTTTAAGAATTCCACAAATTGTCTTCCCATTTTTTATGTTTTTTTTTCAATGGCCAGAGCCATTAGTTGGATTAATGACCAATATCGTGACGTCGAGGGATTAACGGTGCAGGGGTGTACATAATCTCGCTATTGCAAATGAATTATTAAGTAGTGGTATTCGATTATAGTCCGACTAGAGGGTAATGAGTTGCGTTGGGCTCGAGGGGAATATTTTTCAATAACTTTTTATTTGGGAAATGGGGAGAATTGGTGGAGGCTTGAGGAATTTGACTTCATAAAAAAAACTAGTTGATTTTGTCCTTTTTTTATAAAATATTGAATGTTCTGTGAGCGCAAAACAGATTTCTTAATCCCAGAAAATATCCCTTTATCACAGCAAGTCGTTTCATCTTCACATTTTTCAATGAGAAGGTAATTACTAATGATGAAGAATGATGATGAATAAGAAGTAAATAAATCGTCAGTTTTATTTTAAATATCTCCTTGATGAAAATTTTCTTAAGCTTTCATCTCTCACTTCGGAGTTCCATAACGCAAATCAATAAAGACTTCGAATCGTTTCGATTTTCATCTCGAATTAGGACCACAAGTAATTCACTAATCAGACGTAATAATGAGAGTTGAGGAAGCGAGACAATAAATAATGTAACGTCGAGAGTTAATATTAAAAGCGTTTGATTAGGTTTTAATTACGCAGTTTAAATCGAGTTGGAAGATTAATTCAGTTGTGAAGTGGAATAAGGGAAATCGATTCAATTTGAACATTTTCTTTCCAAGAATTGATAGTTTCAAATATTTATTTCAAGTTAATTCTCTGCTGCCGAGTCGGAGTGGAGTTTACCTGAATCCACTTCATCACGGAATTTCACGTTCTCAGTAATCATAAAGGTAATGTAAAGTTGAATAGACGATTTAGAAAAAATGTTATTGAACTCGTAATGTATGTTGTTATATTGAAATTTTTTATGATTAAATTTTCTACTGAGAAAATCCCATTCAGGGGAGAAGTTGTGGAACCTAATGAAATATTCCTTTCGCTATTTAAGAAAATGTAGATGATTAAATTTTGTTGCTGTTTTACAACTTCACTCTTGAATAAGTCAGTGGGACAGTGGTAAAAGGCGATAAGTGGCATTTCATATTCGTCTTAATTAATAATTATCAGCAGAAATTCTCGATGAGAGATCGGAATATTTTCTTAATGAATTTTCCGATCAAAAAAGCTGTTGGGACTAGAATGAATGAGTTTCAGATTATTTGATATGTAATATAATTATAAAAATAAAGTTATCTCAAATTTTTGAAAATTTTAATGTGGACAATTCAGAGGTATTCCAAGATTTTCAGGAAAAATGGAAATACTTTGAAATTTAGAGGTATTTTCTATTCTTATGTAATGATATGTAATGAAACTATTAAATTGAACTTGTCTCGTTTAACCACTCGACCACTAAAACTATTAATTCCACGAATGAAACGATTTCGACTGATTTTCGTAAATAGTTTAATTTCGAGTTGATTGTTCACTGGAGAAAGAAAAATATGAATGATGACATACACGGCAACGACACATATGAATTGCATAGGACCACGTTTACTGTGTAAATACTATTAGAATATACAGTCTATAAACTACTGTACATAAATAAAAAAAATACGACGAGCGAGGGGGAGTATGTAATCATTAAAATGCCGAAAGAGTGTTAGATTTTATATGTGGAGTGGAAGAAAATAATTCTATGTGCAATGCAAAAAAAAAAAATCAAACAAGCAACGAAAAGTCGCGAACAAAATCTGATGAAAATGTTCACGCGCTTTTATTTAATCAAAAAATATTTCTCAATGGTAAACGGATTGAATACATATCCAAGGAGAATCATGAGTCGAAACGATATATGCATTCGATATTTTATTTATCTTTTGGCTGGTAGATTCATAAGTGCTTCATACTTGGGGATAATTTTACCCCCAAAAGGGGGTTATATGCGAGCTTTAATCATTTAATCTCTCATTAATACAGAAATCAATGTCGAGGAAGCTCTGAAAATTCAGAAAAGTCAATGAATAAATGCTGTCTGTGTCCCAGTTATCACCACTTTTAACTTTCCGCGGTCTCTCTAAAGTTTTACAATATTTTTTGTTTTTTACTATTTTTATGGTATTTTACATCATTCCATCGGAACGTAAATTTTTCCAAGTTTCCGCTAATTTTCCTCTGTCAATTGGTAGATAAAATTAATCGATATCGTCGACGATTAAATGAATCCAAATGCACATTTTTTTTACTTTTCAGTGAATTTTATATTGTTATTAATTAAAAATAGGGAGAGTGGCATTAACTGGAACAGTGACAGTAGAGTAAAAGCCACGTTTATAAATTGGGGAGATGATTATTGCAATTTAGTCTCAAATATTTCGTCAACGAAAGGTACGAATCGAGCTAGTGAGGTCTCATTTGTAAGAACGAAACATGATCTTCATAATGAAATAACAATCACCAAGATTGACTGCGTCAATCTCGAGACATTGACAGTTAGAAATAATTCATTTTCACTCATTCGCCAACTCCTCCAATCAACGAACAGTCTCCGCGAAATATCTTCGAACCTTATCGAAACAGCGTAAACTTCAAACGAAACTTTTTGCAGAAAATGTGTAAACCTACAACAAAGTCCCCACAAAAATTCACGTACCTCTCACCACTCCCACGATATCAATGAAAACTTAAAATCTTAAGTAAAAAAAATGAAGACGTGCTTTTACTTTAATGAATGCACTCTCGGTTGATAAAATACCACAAAATAACACCATTTATCTTTTATAAATTGACAAGAAAGAGAAAACAAATGTAAATAATTTGCCTTGAAAACAAAGTGGGAGAAAAATGTCAAAAAAATATATTCAACTTCATTAAGAATGTAAAAATAATGGGGCGTACGACGTATAGCAACTTAAATACTCAAGACAATAAAATGTTATTATCGATGTTGAATTTCTGGTTTTATTGTTAATTTTACATTAATCAACTATTCATTTAAGGAAATACAATTTAATTTTTATGTGCACGCTTACGTTTGGCTTTGATCCGTTGGGTTTCCTTTGTCCTCTCGTTCTCAATAAATTCCTTGAGTTTCTCTACATGCACCTGATAATTCATTGCCTCAGCAACAGATTCAAGCGATTCAATCTGTTCAATGGGAGGTAATGCTTTGTGGGCAGCCCTGAGCATTCGAGAGAAGACGGGAACCTGATTGGATGTGAGTATTGAAATAGCAGTTCCTGGTAATCCAGCTCGTCCAGTACGTCCAGCTCTGTGAATGTAGCCCTTTATGTGCTTTGGTAGATCATAGGATACGACTAATTTAACTCCTGCTATGTCCACCCCTCGGGCCAAAGCGTCTGAGCTCACTAAGCTGTTTGTGAACGGATAAATATATCTCATCACTCAAGGATTTCATCCAAAATTTTTCATTGCTCGAGTCTTCTTCCACAGTTACCTTAATAATGAGCAATCCTACGGAAAAATCTCCCAAAACATTTTTATGGGCAATCTCTCTAGCTACAAAAAAATCTTCTAACATTTCTTCCTACGATCATTAGTTCCCGAGATAATCGAGAAAATAACAAAAATAGTAAAACGGGAATTTTTGAAAGAGCAATTTTTCACGTCTCAATAAATGTCTAATTATATCGATAACGAATCGTTTTACAAAAAGAACTGATAAGGAGTTTTTTAGAGGAAATTTGATGATCTATAAAAATGCTGCTGGGCGATTTTTTGTAGGATCACTCGTTAACGAAATATCCATGCAGTTTTAGAGTAATGAAATGTAGTGTTGTGAAAAATAACTCACATTTGGCTTTTATCCTGGGTAAATCTCTCCAACATCTGAGTCCTCTGTCTCGGCAACAACTTGGCCGATAACTCATCAACAACAACGTTTTTATCCAGTAGCATGAGTCTCAAAAGGACGGCAAGTCGATGGGAAGCCTCACCAGAATTGGTAAATACCAGTGTCTTCTCAATTGGCTGTCGAGACGTGATCAATTTAACTAGAGCAACTGGTTTGTATTCAGGTGCACACTCAACCGCACGCTCCATCAATTCATTTGGACTTGTGTATTTTCCCACAAATTCGCCAGTTTCCTTATCAAGATCTACATCATCGTCTCTGTCTGTTATCACAACTGATGTGAAGAGAATTGGTTGAAACAGTCCCAAACGACTCAATTTCTCAGGATCTTGGGACAAAGTTGCTGAGAATAACAATTTCTGGGCTGGAGGAATTTCACTACAGCACAACAACAAATTTTATAAATTTCAGTAACAGTTAATATTAATTTAATTCGAAATCAATTCTCAATTATCCTGGGAATTCCTCGTCTTACTCAATAATCAATAAACATTGGATTATTCCAGTAATTAACGAATACTTTATAATTTTCTTCGTTAGATATTGACGTCGGAACTATTAATAAAATGAAAGCTCACCAAGCCAGATAGTTCCTGATAGTGAGGGGTGGTGGACACCTGTGAGGCATGGGTATATGCCTGAGCCAGTCAGTGGCCCTGTCCGCTTCATCAATGACCAAAAATTCGAGAAACTTGAGGGAAAACCCCTCGGTCTGTTCGATGTGATCGACAAGCCTGCCAGGTGTGGCAACAATAATATCCACTCGACTCACCAAGTCCCCCTTCAAAGTCCTCTCGACAAGACTCTGCTGTTCAGCCTCGAAGGAACTGGCCCCAGAGACAAGTCCCACACCCAAATTGGTCGTTGAGACGTACGTCTCAAATACTTTATAGACCTGCAACGCCAACTCCTGAACAGGCACCACCACCAGACAGCTGATCCTCTGGATAAACCTGTTCCTCAACTGTTGAATTACAGGTAGAACGTATGCCAAGGTCTTTCCACTTCCTGTAGGAGCTGAAACACAAGTGTCTCGAGGCCAGAAGCCCTTTTTTCTGTCCTCACTGCATTTCAGCATCCAATTTATCAGGCTAGACTGCACTGGGAAAAATCTACTCACGCCTTTTGTTTTTAAAAGATCGATCAATCTGTCATCAAGCTTTCCTCGAAGCTCCTCAACCTCGGGACCAGTCGATAGATCTGCTGAAATAATCTCAGGATGTGCAAGCCAATTTGGCAGGACTCTCTTCACTGCTTGTCTCTTCTGTTTTGATGTTGCTCCTAGAATCGTAAAATTGTCAGTTTCTCTGGGTTTTTCTTTGGTATGTTCTTCAGAAATTCCTGGTGTATCCTTTTCAGTGATCGCAGAAGACTCTGAAGGAAGGGATTGGGGTGGAATTTCGTCGGTGATGGGAGTCGATTTTTTTCGTTTTTTCTTCTTTTTGGGGGGTTCCCCTGGAGTGACTGCCGGCGCAGTGGAAACTTCTGATTTCTGACGTTTTCTCAGTTCTATCTTTTTGAGAAGCTCTGAGAGATGATCATGAGCAGATTCAGATACCTGGGGATCTTCCCCGTCGTCTCCTTCGTACCTGTTGAAACGAAAATCAACACTTTGATACTTTAAGATTTCTTTACGAGAAATAAAGCTCCAAAGTACATTCACTGCGGAGGGATCAGGGATAAATTAATAATTAAAATGAACAACTATTACCTATTTACAACGAAAAGGTCCATGTTATTTATTTATATCTTGAGGTTATGTTATCTGTGAATTCACGTGTGATGACAGAAATTATAGGGGAGATCAAAGGTCAATCCTCTTTGAGCAAAGCCGTCAGTAAGAATGTGTCATAGCGGTGGCGTGTGAACAAATCGAAGGAACTAGTCGTGTGAATAAGAACGGAATCTCTGGAGCAGAGAGGATTGACTAAAGTAGAGGCTCAGTTCTGGAGGTTCGAGTTACCCCAGCGGCATCGTAGTACTGCACCCCAAGAGAGGGAGGGCGGCACACGCAATGAGGGTCTCTGCCCGTCAGCCGACTCGGTAACTGGACCAATCGATAGGCTGAGTGTTATTTTCTACGTTACGAAAAAACGAAATTGGTATTCACTGAAATTGAAGAATTTAAAATTTTCAAAAAAGTATCAGGGGAGCATGAAAATCGAGGAGGTATTCACTGAAATTTGAAATTTATAAATTTTCCGAAAAGTATCAGGGGAGCATGAAAATCGAGGAGGTATTCACTGAAATTGAAAAATTAAAAATTTTCAAAAAAGTATCAGGTGAGCATGAAAATGGAGAAGGTATTCACTGAAATTGAAAAATTAAAAATTTTCAAAAAAGTATTAGAGGAGCATAAAAATGGGGAGGGATTCACTAAAATTCGAAAATAGACGCAAAAAATTTAAGTGAATACCAATTTCGTAACGCAGAAATTAATATTCATTCTGTCGACTGGTCCCTCTGACAGCGAGAGTGCTACTGAGGCAGTTACCGAGTCCGCTGACGGGTAGACCCCCCACCATTGGGTGCGACCCCCTCTTTCTCTTGGGGTAGGGTGCTCGCGCAGAACTGGGCCGCTCAGTGGGGGTTTGAGTGACCCCACCGCCATGTAGTACGTCACCCCAAGAGAAAGAGGGGGTCGCACCCAATGGTGGGGTGTCTACCCGTGAGCTGGCTCAGTAACAGCCTCAGTAGCAGTTCCGCGCCCTCCCTCACTTGGGGTGTAGTACTACGATGCTGCTGGGGTCACTCAAACTCCCAGAACTGAGCCTCTACTTCAGTCAATCCTCTTTGCTCTGGAGGAAGAACACGATGGTAAGGACGTCGATAATTTGGAGCAGACATGAATGCAAATATAAAATGAGCTGTACCTTAAAAAAATAGAATTTTTGAGAACTGGTGGTAGATTTCTGACCTTTTATATGTCAATCTCTAATATTTTTTAATGAATTGTTGGTATTTACTCGATAACCTAACTTAACCGTCGACCTGAAACCCAGCAATACCTGATCTCCATTCGTCTCACGTCAGGTTTCTCATATGTTAAATAAAAACACAGCCGATTGTTTAGTCCACCACCAAGAATCCCCACAATTGTTACCCAATTTCCCTTACTCTACTCATCATTATCTTCCCTATCGATTGATTAATCAATCAAAAATGACTATCATCGTCATAAAATCATGATGCAGCAGATCCAATCGACAAGCGAAAACATGGAGTGAACGTAAACACATTTAGGTGAAAATTCTTGAGAAGAGAAATGAAAGATTCGTGTGCGTAATCGGTGAAAGGCGACGATTTTTTTCAGCCGGTCATCATGTTTTACATCTCTTACTAGTGTTTTAGACGTGTGGAAGACGTTGAACTAGTGAGGCATTTCCATTGTCACTGAATTCCCTCAGTTTTTCATGATCGCGATATTTTTTTCCTCAGCGATTCATTGATTTCTTGGAGTTCGACGACTTTATGTTGTTTGTTTATTGTTCTTCTTAATTTTCGTTGCATTTATGAGGGGCTATAAAAGAGGAGAATGTTCTCCACAGTGTATGACTTTTTGAAGAATTTTGAGGAGATTATTGGTGAGTTTTTTTCACAATTTTTCACATATAAAAAATATAAATAAGAGACCATTTGTTTAAATTTGTTTAAACATCAAATTGTTTGTACTACCCAAGATATGATAAAAAGCTTGTAATTAATATTTCCTCAGGTAATGGTAAATTATTATGTCTCAGGAAATTTTGTTGTGTTATTTTTTGTTGAGTAATTGAATTCATGACAGAAAAAAAATTCTTTTGGGCCTGATAAACCTCTGGTAAAATTATACTTTTCAACAGCATTGCAATGTATGAAATTACATGTCCAGAGAAAAATTTGGGGATTGAAGACAAAAAGGATAAAATAATTAAAAGATCCTATCCTATATCACATGTTCGTGCATAAGTTTGAGGCCTCTCGTTCACTTATTTGTAAATAATATCCCTCAGAAAGAAATATGATTTTTTTTGTGAAGACCTACGATTTTTGATTGGCATCCTTAATATTGCGTAACATTTGGAATGAGTGGAAGATCTTCTATCTTATGTGCGTAATAAAATCTCATCGAAACTCGTTTGAATTATATATTATCGGGCTATGTTAATTTATCATGTTTGTATGCTTTATGCTTTATGTTTTTATGTAGATGTTATTTTATCGTCTTATTTTTGTTCACAGTTGACCACATTGACGTGGATTTTACATTATGGCTCTCATGGCTTCTCATGCCATTGCTAGTCACGTTTCTATTACCTGTTGTTATTCTCTTACTTCTGTACATGACTGCATTAATATTCTACATTTACAAATTACACAGGTGAGTTATTTCTCTAAAATACAAAATTTGCACTGAGAGAAGAGTGTAAAAGTTTTTAAAAAAGTCTTGCTGGTATGAGGTAAATCGACGGTTGAAAAATACAAAAAAAAAGTAGTACTTGGTTCGAATTTGAAAGTCTTCAACGAGAAACGCGAACAATACTGTGTTCTCAGGGACAATGAAACACTTGACCCGGGAGGTGAATTATTCATGTAAGACGAGAATAAAATTCTGTTTTTTACTGAAATTTTTTTTTTTTTCAATCTCTAGAAAACGATTGAGAGAGGCTTACGGAAAGGACTGGAAATCTGCAGCGAGAAGTGTCGTTGCTGCAATTTGGGATGTCCATGGATATATTTATTATGGTCCGTATAAATCCTGAATGCGTTAGTAAAATTGCAAAACAAGATAATTTACGTTTTCGATTATTTAAGTTTTCCAAGAAAATCTCTGAATCTATGAGAAATAGGGAAATTTTAGTAAATAACATTTATCAAGTTTTTATTTTTGCCTACCAAAGTTGTCTTACAAAAAAATCCACTCTCTCTGACAAATTCAGAGATATATAAAAATGAAAAAAGGAATATTCGATTATTGATTTATTAATCACTTATTTTTGTATTCTTTTAGGATATGAAGTTGTTGGAATCGAAAACATTCCAATGGATTCCCCAGTATTATTTATCTATTACCACGGTGCTGTACCCATCGATCTCTACTACTTCATAGCAAAAATTGTTTTACTCAATTCAAAAGTCATTCACTCGGTGGTGGATAATTTTTTATTCAAAGTACCTGGATTTGCTATCATCTGTCACGTTATGAAGTTGATACCAGGTACGATTCAGACTTGTTCGGCTATTCTGAAGGAGGGGAATATGCTCGCAATATCTCCAGGTGGTGTTTACGAGGCACAATTTGGTGATTCTTATTATCAATTATTGTGGAAGAACCGAATGGGATTCGCTAAAGTCGCCCTCGACGCTAAAGTGGTACACTAGATTCTACATTCGTTCATACTCGAATTTATTTCCTACAGTCCCAGAAATTCTAGTCAACGTCATATTTTACTTCCTTTAAATAATTCAACTGTGGGAATTGAATTCAATATTTTTTCTTAGTTATCAATTTATCTCGGGTAGTTTTTGCGATTAAGTTAATGATTTTCCTCAGTGTATCGTACCAATGTTCACCAAAAACCTAAGAGAAGCGTTCAGAACGATGAGTTGGGGCAGAAGAATGTGGCTGAGGATCTACGCAGCCACGAGATTTCCATTTGCACCACTGTACGGTGGTTTTCCAGTAAAACTAAAGACATACGTTGGCAAACCAATTCCTTACGACAGTAGTCTGACACCAGAAGAATTGAAAAACAAAGTAGCCAAGGCCCTCGAGGATCTAATCAAAGAGCACCAGAAGGTGCCTGGAAGCATAATGAGGGCTTTGATTGAGAGGATCTACGACCCCTCGAGCTCTAAAGATCATCACTCGTAGTCTTAATTTATAAACAATTGCGGCGAAGTCGTAAAAAGAGGTACGTTGACAGTTCTTCGATCAGTTTTTCGGAAATATCTTCAAAACTAGGGGAGATAATGAAATTTTTCGCTAAACTTCTTCTGCAAAGGTAATTCGAAGCGATAAATCAAGTTATTACTGAAATTTCGCTATCTTCCTTAGTTTCGGAAATATTTAAAAAAACACCATCCAAGAAATGAGTCAATTTATTCTGTTTTACTACTCCGTTAATGAAATTAGTGAAGAGATTTTTTGTTGGTCGGCTTATCAATCTTCAAAAGTAAATCATAATTCTCCCGATCCATTGAAAGACCAACTTGCCCTCTAATATAAGATGATTTAGAGATTTTAGGTGATTTTTAAGAAGGCACACTTTATAATTTTTCGTTCAATTCTGTTGATGAATTCCTCGCCTTCCTCATCGAATCTCAGAGACTTAATTTATATTTAAAAAGTTATTATACAGTATGAATGGAATGGATTAGTCCCATTTTGGATATCTAGCTTGTTAATTGGGTGATTAATTGGCGAGGGAATAAGTGGAGAATACTTTCAGTAAGGAAGAGGTAAAGAGCACGTTAACTGATTCTTCAGTGCAGTTTCCAGGAAATATTACTGAATCTGAGACAGAGAGCATAATTTTCCGCAGGATCTATTCTGCAGAGTGGAATAAGAGCTATAAACAAGATTCATATAGAATTTTCCATATTTCTCTTAGATTCAGAGATACTCTTCGAAACTTACAAATGATTCAACTAAACTCAGTCCTTAGAGTCTTCCTACTTTTTTTTTTAAATGTCAATTTCCATTCAATATTTGGAAGAATTCTCAAAAAAACTTTCCTCTCGATATCCTCCAATTCCTCTCAATTCCTCTCCTGAATAAGGAGTTGATTTCCATCTTGGAATCGTCCAAATATGATTTTTAAAAAAGATCTAGTAAATCGGAATCTTGTGATTCATGAATTACATTCCCCAGTCGTTTAATAATGAATTATACAACTAAAAATTCATTCGACTTAAAGAGAACTTAGTGATTAAATCATGAATAAGTTACGACCCTGCACAAATGTCCGAAAAACCAATTTTGCTTGACGCAATAAGTATTTCCATAATCGTGTTATATTTTTGGCTACCTGCGGCAATCTTACGAGAATTAATTATCCTTTCGTGTTTACGTATTTTAGGATAGTACTACTTTAGATTCTGGATGAAAAACAAATTTATTTATTGATTTTATACTTCGGTGGATATGTTGACTCTTTATGTTTTCTAATTGAGAATAAATCAGTCTCATTAAAATTTTTCCTCATGAAATCTATTCTTGCCTTATCTCCATGATTATTCCATTCATCTACCGATGTTTTATGCGCAAAAATTATTACGTTATATTAACTTGAAAAAAATAAAAAATAAAAATGATAAAATTAAAGCAATCTCATAGTATATAATAACAATAATAATACAAATAGATAATTGCGTCCTCTCTGTCGTGAGGTCGGTACTAGAATATTAGCTGTCATTTTAAACCCCTGACATGCCCCTCTGTCCAACTACATCGTCTTCGTCAGCAATTATCATGTGTCAACGTCGGAAGGCGCACGCGTACCTACAAGCCAACATTTTTTTAACTATCATGGTGGATAGTTAACCGGATAAAAAGTATAAACGATGAGTGAACATCTCATTACTTTCAAATAGTTGTTAAATTAGACTCGAGAGTTATTTATTTTAATATTAAGAAATATATTAAAGTACTTAGATTTAATCCAAGAGCATCTGGTGAATTACTCCTAATAAATAGAGGCTAACCCGCATCTATGTAATTATCAATGAAAAAAAAATAGTCTATTAGCGGGAGATAATTAAAAGCCTGGCTCGACAATTTTTCTCCCTGAGTATTGCGTACTTTTGATAATAAACCATGACACGGTTGAACTTGGAGGTGAAGTATCTCACTCAGGAACACCTCACGGGTTTCGAGAATTACAAGGTAATTTTTTTTACTATATCACTATTAGATTTAACATCTAGAATATATCGATGTCATCGCTGAGAAAGGAGGTATTCAGTCACGGTGATGACTCAAGGTCATGATATTATTTTCTGTCACTCGCTAGTTTGCACAATTCAATTCTTTCATATTTTTTTTTTACGGAAGCCTGATAACGCAGGTCTCGGTGAATTGTCAACGACAATTATCAGAACAGGTGACAATTCTGTTTATGCAAACCTCGTTTTACCTTGATGTATGCGAGAATACATCTCTGATAAGAGAAATGTTAACAATTCTACGGAAAACCATTGTTCAGCTACGATTTACTATCGATTGTTCTCCCAAAATCGAATTGATTAATCATTTAATTACAAAACTATGTAATCAGTTACGAGATATTGAGAATAATTTCAAGAACTCCCGAAGGATCTCGAATTGTTACGCCACAAAATAGTGACTATTTGAGAATGTCTATCGCTGGATTACAGAATTCTCGAAATAATTTTATTTTCCACAGTACAGCTGCTTGGACACGAGCCCATTGAGCATCTACGTGATGCACCCATTCTGGAACAAAGTGGTAGAGGTAGGAAAACCACTGGTCCACAGATAAATAAATACCACCCGATTAATAATTTTAATCTTCCAGTTCTGTCCAAAATGGGTGGCACCAAATGTCCTGACGTTTGCAGGCTTTCTCTTCACAGTGCTCAACTTCCTGGTATTCTCCTACTACGATTACTATTTCTACGCGTCGAGTGACGATCACCTAGAGTACGACAGAATCCCAACGTGGATCTTTGCTTTTGGTGCATTCAACATCTTCATGGCGTACACCCTGGACGGAATAGATGGAAAACAGGCGAGAAGAACGCAGACATCGGGTCCCCTAGGGGAGCTTTTTGACCACGGTTTGGACAGCTGGACAGCGATGCTCATCACCGTTTGCATGTACTCTGTATTCGGTAGAACCGAGCACAGCGTATCACCCTTGAGGATGTACTTCATTCTCTGGAATGTCTTCATAAATTTCTACCTGAGCCACTGGGAGAAATACAACACTGGAGTTCTCTTTCTCCCCTGGGGCTACGACGTATCGATGGTTGCTACAATTCTCGTGTTCCTCCTGACGAATTTCGCAGGGTACAGAGTCTGGAAGTTTGATCTACCTGGGGGAATGACTGCGGGAACAATCTTCGAGACGCTTCTGTATGCCAGTGCTCTGGTATCGAATCTTCCTGTTGTACTTTGGAATATTTACAAGTCCTACAGAGACAAGACTGGGAAAAATCGAACGATGGGGGAGGCACTCAGGCCACTTGTTGCACTAGGTGTTTTCTTTGCCATCACCACCTTCTGGGTCAGTCACTCCAGGAGTGAAATACTTGAGAAGGATCCCAGGATCATCTACTTCGCCAGCGGTACCATCTTCTCGAATATCTCCTGTCGACTCATTGTCGCGCAGATGAGCAACACCAGGTGCGAGCTTTTGCCCTGGATTCTACTTCCTGTGGGTGGCGCTGCTGTTTTCAGTTATATTCTACCGGAGTATGACCTCGTCACGATGTACATCGTCGCCGTCGCTTCACTATTAGCTCATGTTCATTATGGAACTTGTGTTGTGAGTGGATTTTTTTATAATTCTTTGGGAGATTAAATAATTCAATGAGATGAATTTTTGTTCTGTCCACAGGTTCGTCAGATGTGCCATCACTTCCGCATAAAAACATTCCGCATACGCGAACACTCCGAATGACTACTTGCCGACGATGCATGTTAAAAACGAAGATCTCCTTCGGAGAATGAGATTATGCACACGTGTTTCATCAATTATCAATTATCGACGAGAGAGTCAATCGATGTAACCGACAAATTTATTTGAAAATACTGAGAATTTGTGCGCAGAAAAAAAAATCCCCAGCAGCCTCTCGATGCCCTAATCAGATCTGATCTCTTGTCTTTGTTTTTCAAATTATTTATCCCGTGATTGTGAACGATTTGGCATGATTCGAACTCCTGGTTTGACCGTGTGTTAATTCATTTGCAATCTGCACTTCTTCGTTTTTAGCGTGCGTCGTCCCTCGGACGATTAGTTAATAATTTTATATTTATGGTTGCCATTACACTTTCACATTTCGAAGGCTTATGCCTTTGTTTATGATTTTCCGAGCTGATGAGGGCGGAAAAAGAAACTATACTCAAAAAATTATTCTGTAATTATTTCAGTGGCGAAGTGTTAAAGCGAGACAATTCGAGTTTAACATTTCTGTAATGACTGATTTATGTCGAGAACTATTGGTTTATAGAAAAAAAGCTGAAGGACTTTTTTGCAGCTGATTAAATTACCATCGAAAAAGATCTTTTGATATTTTCACCTGAAATCAATAGTTTCTTGGATTAATCAATATTGAATAAAATAAAAAATCGACTTGTCGCACTTTATGACTTCTGATGATTCTTGTATATATTGTGATATTTCATTCGATAGAAATTTTCACATTAGATCGAAATATTAGATCGCAAGAATCCGGAGCGGCTGTTTGGTGCGCGTTATCGATGAATCTGTATTTGAGATGGAAATTTTAATGTAAGGAACGATGTACAAACTAGTCCCACCCCAAATCTACGTTAATGGATGTAAATATCGAGTGTACATCAACTGCATTTACCTAACATACTCTGGACGAATGATAATGTAACTAATCAGACACATTAAACACTTTCTGTGAAAATAATGTCTCCCGTGAATATTTCAAAATTATAACAATTATATCATATTTATTACTACCAATTACAAGACTATCTGCGCATTTTCTCCATGTACTCGGCCTTTATTTTCTTTCGATCATCAGGTAGTGGGAGCGGTGGAGTTATTCCTTGACGCTTTCTTGACCACTTCACCTCATTCTGAAGAAAACCATTAATAATCTCGAGAAAATAATATATAAACACCTAAATATCTCCTAATTTCAGAGAGATACCAAAAAATGTGTAATTACCTTTTTTGTAGTTCGTCATTAGTTCTACAAAAAAGGTCGAGACAAAAATCGTGATATCTGTCTTGGACACCGAGATATTTTGGCTTTTGGTTGAATGGTAGTTGAAATCTCACCCAAAATTTTTTACACGCTTTAAAATTGTCGAAGTAAAGAGTGCAGGCGTCATAATTGTAATTATTTTTCTCTAGACAACGTCGGGAGCCTTCCGACTCCTAGAAGATTAATTAAATGGTAATTAGTACGTAAATACGTGGAGAGATGATGAATAATGTTAATTACCTCGTGACAGGGGTTATCTAGTATGAGTTGCTGTTTTGCAGCTTCTATTTCAGATCTGTTTTTCGCCATTCTCCCGAAAAAACTTAAAGGTTATGTTTAAATGATCAAGTATTTAGAATAATCAAAAGCAAGACTGGGAATTTCGAAGGAAATTGATAAGAACGAAACAATTTGATTTCTCAATGATTAACACTGAAACGACTTTACAAAACAAAATCTTTATTTAAAAAATCAATTACACATGAGATGATTCGTCCCCACTGTCAGCAGCCATGGCTTCTCTATTCTCATAAGCCCAGAATCCATGGAATTCAATTAAAATACTGATCATGGTGTCGCCCTGGCCACAGCTGAGTAGATCCTGGAGAGTGATCCTGCAGGAGTCAGCAGGTTTTACCATGTCAAATATCTCGTCCTTGACATCTTCAAAGCTGACAGGCTCCTGTCCATGCATCTTCATCTGCTCCTGAATGGCCCTGAAGAAGTAATTCAAGCAGAAGGTGTCGAGATACCCCTTATTATTGATATCCAGGATCCTGAAGAGATAATGAAGACTCTGAGGCTCGTGTCGATTTTCCAGAGCGAGTACAAAATCAAGATACGTTTTATAATCCATCTCCCCTTCGTACGTGAGACACTCCTGGAAGACCCTCTCCAGAAATACCCCGGTGAGGGTTCCAGTGCCATATCCAGACAATTCCTCTTTATTCAGCATTCCATTGTGATCCCTGTCAAGATTGAGGTACTGCCCATAGACCTTGAGGGCGGATGGCGCTGAAAACCAGTTGGCCTCCTGCAGATCCTTGGGAAGATCCTCATCTCGCAGCTCCAGGAGATCGTCCAGGAAGCTGCAGGCGAGGATATCCTGGATTCTCACTCGTCCTGTTCTCAGGGGATCCAGGAAGAAAAGAAATTTTCTCACTGCTGTGCAGACGTAGAACGAGTGGAAGGATTTCTCAAGACCCTCCAGCTGAGGTAGGGTGGGTATCAGCTCGAGGATATAATTCTCCAGGTCTGATTCCCTCAGGTAGCCCTGACCTGTCACGTCGTACAGGGAGAGACCTATTCTCGTTTGGTGGAGCCAGACTTTTCTCATGACGTAATTGAAGAGTGCCATTATGCTGATCCTTCCGTGGGGATCACCCTGCTGGAGTTTGGCGAATACAACAGCTGTGAAGTAGGGAGAGCATTTGGCACCTGCTAGTCTACCCACGTTCTTGAAGTCCTCGTAATTTATTAGCTGTTCGTCACCAGACAGTGGAGGGCTGTGGTGTTTGTCCAGGAGGACCCACAGGGCCTTCAGCTCGTTGTTGTCCAGGAGTTGGCGGGAGCGACGTTGCAGGAATAATGCTCTGGTCTCCTCTCGAAGTTTCTGAGGGAGAATCTCATCTTCTTTTGGCAGCTTGAAGTAAAATTTCGGGATTATCTTGTATGTTTGGTTTATGTTGGATGATTTTGCCCCCTTCCAGCTCTCGTAGAGTCTCTGGAAGTGCTTGCCCTCTTCCTTCTCGATTATCTCATGATCTTTCCGATCGTTTTGCGTTGCAGCTCTCCTCAGGATCGCTGACAGCTCCATTTTTCAAGATTATGTTTTCATGGTCGGAGTCACTTGTGATTTTGAGTTTTTGGAATTCTTGGCATTGTTGGCAGTTCGATGACAACAAACCTAGGGATTTTAACGATCATTGCCAGCTGACGTCTGGGGTTATCGGGGGATTCCCTAGGTGTGGAAATTTAGCGGGAATATTTGGTTGCTATGGGAACGAATTGTTCGTGAGGAAATTGTTTATTAAGGTTGTGAATTCGAGAGAAATGGGTGATGAGAGTGTTGAGTATATTTTGCCACCCTGGGAAGCAGAGGCTTTAATCGAAAATCTGAGGCCCTCGAGTCTCGATGAAATCGGGATGAAAAAATGGTTCGAGAATCATCAGAGGCTCATGCTTCTGCATCAGCAGAGCGTTTTGGAGATTAGCACGTTGAGGGAAGAGGCTGTCAAGGAGTGGTTTGTCAATTTTCAAAAGGTCTTTTTAAAAATTCGTGAAACTGCAGTATTTTCACTGATTAGATATATCCAGTATTTATTGCATTGCAGATCCCGATTTTGATTTACGAAGCGATTCAAATCTCTATCTGGAAGGAAAAGGTATTTCCGGTGATAATCGGAGCAAATGGCGAGCCCTCCAATACTTTCATGATGTACAGTATTTTTTATCACGAAAGTCTAGTTGTTTCTCTCCTGGAGAACGTTCTCTTCCACTCTGACAGCGTGGAAACTCTAGATGATTCGGCTCTAGACCTGGTTGACTACTCCATAGGCAATGTGACTGCTCTGATTTTTTCTGAGACAGAACCACAGGTTTCCCTTCCAGAAAACGCATCCTGCCTCGAGGAATTAGTTTTTAAACGACAGCAGATGCAATTCGATATCGCGATGAAGTCAATTTCGATTTTGTCGTATCTGTCGGGTTTTGCGGAGAGTCTTTCCTTGGCTGTTATCAAAAGACTCATGGCGACTCATGATCTGCCCTATCTGATGACGACATTAATTGAGAAAAAGCCCTGGAGGAAAATTAGTAAAGAGGGCGAGGAAATTTATACGTCCACTTGGGAGAAAGTCAAGGAAAACGAAAGGGATAAAATCTGTAAGACTGAGGGACAGATTTGGATCGCACTTCGAGAACTTCTCTTGAATCCTAAATGCGCCCCGTATTATCCAATCAATGAGTTCCGAATATCGGAATTGTCGAAGGTAATTCTATTGAGGTGTAATTTGAATAGAAATAATTTTTTCATAAATGTATTTCTATCAGCTGCAAAAATATCTGCACGAGCGAGTTTTGGATCAAATATCTCCTCTGATCGACCTACGTCGATGGCTGGGGTATCTCACCCTCTCGCCTCCTGCGAACAACTCAAACCCTCCGATTTCTGTGGAAATAATCCCCCAGATTCGCTCCTCTATTCTCGATAAATACAGAAAGAAGTGGAAGAAAATCGCGAAATTTCAGGGAGAGTTGTTCTACAATAATGACGTCAATCATGTTAAAAGTTACGCTGAAATACTCAGTGCAGCGTACGATGTTGATAAAATTGTGGCCACAGCCACTAAAACTTGCGCTCTTTGCTTGCAAATTGCAACAAAAAAGTGCTCGAAATGCAAAATCGTTTGGTACTGCGGAAGGTAAACAATATTTCATTTTCACGTGCACTGTAATCACTGAAATAATTAAAATTATTAAGAATAATTGAAATTCTTCACAGGGAATGTCAAGTCAAAGACTGGACTACCCACAAGGATCAATGCGAGATGATAAAATCCGCTGAAACTTGAACTTCAATTTAACGCATTATTTTTTCTCATCGATTTAGTGGTAGGAACTGAATAAAAATAAAATACGAGTGGAATACGATCAAAGTTTTATTAAAATAACTTAGTGTACAGCATTTTGTTTGATGTATTCGATGAGTACGTCCTTTGCTGGGGTTTCCTCACCGAAATCCTGAAAAAAATTGACAAACTCAAAAATCGTTCAACTAAATGAGAAAAATCTTTTGTTTATAATAATTATTCAGCCAGGCGTGTATCAGCACGGTTTTTTTAATATTTGGGTTCTCCTCAGAAGAGGGAGCCTAGGTTTTCATCATTTTAATTACTGAATAAAAGAATTATAGAACAATTGATGTATTTGGTGTACCTTGATAACAACGCAGGAGCATCCGACAACTTTACGTGCCTTTCCAGCGTTATCAATTTTGCAGAGTCCAGCCCATTCACCAAGTTTCTTATTATTATCAACCTTGATGAAGGGAATCTGGTGCTCGTTGCAGAGGGCTGTCACAAGCTTCTTGTACATGGGCTCATCGCAGTTGTCAGCCAAAATGCAGAGCATTGCTTGCCTCCTGCAGGATTTACATTTTAAAAAAATCCAATGAGTCTCCAATACACCATAAATTATTCTTATTATTTTTAACATTAAAACTGACTTGTCGAGAGCCTTGGCGGCTTCATGGAGACCATGTACCACTCCATCATGGATAAGTGCGTTTTTCAGGACTTCCTGGAGAGCCTGATTCACGTCCATGGGACCTCCAACCACAGGTGCTGGGGGAATATCATCGCTATAACCAAAAAAAATATTGCACTTTGCAGATGGAGGCGATGATTGCCTGGTTAAAAGATGCAGGTGAATAATTAATTACAATCGTGGAGTGGAAAATAGTACGGAAATTATGTGAAGGAATGAGGGACTGGAAAACTCGTGTTGTCAAAAATTTGAGAGGCACTTACGCTTCTGTGTCGGACATGGTTATCGAATGTTTGGCCGCTGAAATAAAGAAACCATATTATTAATCCCTTCCACAAGCCACAATTTCACATTTTTAGTTGAAGAAATATTGAATGATGCCATTGTTAATTATGGATTATCGATGGTGTGTTTCAAGCGTGCTGCGTGTACCTTTTCTGATGGAGAAAGAGAAATGGCGCTGGAGGCGACTCTAGAGGTGCCGATGATGAATTTCCCCTGTCGCCATCTTTTGTTCGACAGTAGTATTCAAATCCGGCGGGAAATTATAAATCCAAATGAATCCAATTAAAAATTCGTGTTAATTACCGAATTGTTTGGAAACTATTGATTTAACGTGAATACTGTAGAGGACTTTTTTGTAGCTGATTAAATTTCCAGCCGAAAATATCTTTTCATATTTTCTCCTAAAATCAGTAGTTTCTGAGATTAATGGGTATTTAATGGACTTTGACAAGTCCCGGAAGTTGATTTCAAGAGTTCAGATCGATTATCAGGCAGGGTAATCAGGGAGTTAATTAATAATCATATGCTTAATGAATACTCACCGTTAGTCGCATGGATTCACATGTTTTTCGTCAGCAAGTACCAGCGGTACTGTTATGCACTTGAGGATCAATTAAGAAAATAGATTTACGCATTAAATTTCTCAAGGATAAGATAAGATTTAACAAATTGCGTGGATATACCGGTGGAACAAAATTGTCTTTTAACGAACGGTACAGCCCCGGGTGGAGGGGCTGCACCTCAATGCCGTTGGTTCATAATGACGACATGCAGATGCTGACTGTTAACTGAAGAGACCGACCGCCGATTTCAGTTATCGTCGCGACTCCGCGAGGACAACATCGAGGATCATTAATTCTTCAAAATCCGTGATAAGTTGGGTAAGTCGATAATTTTGTAATTGTTAATCATTACTCCGATCATCACTCCTCGCTAATCAATTTATCATTTTCTGGAATATTTATTTCGCGGATAATTGACCTGTCCTTGAAAGGGGATAGCGCAATTATGTAGTTTACGGTACGAGACTTTTTCGACTTCTTCACACACTGATTCCGCTCGCGAATTTATAATTAGAGCGTTCTAATGACGATATCAGCCCAAAGTACATTGAACCAGTTTTAACTGTAAATATCTGTGGCAATTGTCTCCGTCACGGACAATTTTCAGATTTATTCCGTTTTAAATAGAGTGTCGTGTCGTTGACATTGCGCCGATTGTAAAATCGATTATTGAGTGATCAATGATGGATCGAATGGTAATTTGAAAAGGTGTCACTGCGTGGGACCGGAAACCCGATAACCGGATCCTGGGACCGATCAGTTTGTTACACATAAAGGCTTACGGAAACGCCTAGGGAATTATATTTGTCACGGTAATACCAGTCCGTGCAATTTGGTTTGTCAGGATCACGCCAACGCACACCGGATGATTGTTCATTGTTCATTTCGGTGAAAGAACATGAAATTACCGTGACATTTATGCACCACTGATTTTGGCATTTCAACGATTTGAAGTCTCCCTCGCACCAACACCTGTTTTAATGAGTTCTTTTGTTGCAGCTAACAAATAACAATATGCTGCTGATTATTTCGTTGTTCAGTGTGATATCATTGACATTGAGTGCTGGCGTGGGTACAGCGTGGGATGTGTCGCCAGGTCAGCAAGGACATACGACCCATCCAACCTGGCCGAGGGTTGACCTGTCAGCATTTGAGGTGAGGAGTGTCAGCGGAGTTGGCAAGCTGATCAAGGACGAGACAGATCAAGCGAACTCAAAGCGAGAAGCTAAAGAAGTCGAGGATATGGGGAGTGACTATGTCCCGGAGGTTCTTTTCGATCACCCCGTGTTCAAGGGAGTCCTAAAGAAGCCGAGGAACGATCCTGACGTCGAAATGCTGCCAGGACCGTGGGAAAAGTCCCGAAAGCCAAACCGCGTTGGCAGAAACCGACAGGTTTGTCCGGAAAGCCTGGAAGAAGACTTGACCTCTGCAGAGGTTATTCGGGAGAAGCCTAGGGTACGGAGGAACGCCGATGAAGAGGATCGGGTGATGGAAAAAATATCTGGGACGAAAAACGTCAGAGAGCCTAGATTGAATTCACCAGAGTCGTGGTCAAAACAGCCGTTGGCCGTTGAATTCCGTCACAGAACGAATTTAGACAGCTCTGAAGATGACTCCAGGGGGATGAGGCAACAACCCCCGCGGGCGGATTTTGTCACTCAAAACAGGAGGAGCTATGCCGAAGGGAGGGAAGCCAGGGCTCTACCGGTTGGAAGAAACTACGAGGATGTGCCCTACAGAAACTCCCTGAGGGACCGAGACCTGGATGTGCCTTACTCAAGGGGATATTTCTATCCGGATCACTTCAGGACCGAGCGTGAATACCTCATTCGCGGGGTCAATGACCCCGGCTTCTCCGCGGACAGGTATCGTATCGAGGATTACGATATGTACAGGAATCGTCCGACACCGAAGCCAAAGAGAATTATTTACTACGCGACTCTTCCGGAGATCGTCAGGAAACCCGTGGATACCAGGAGGCCTTACGATTTTCGACCATACGACACCACGGGGAGGGCCTCAATGCCTCCGGTCAGGGACACATACAGGAGACTTCCTGGTATTGATTTGAAGTACCCGTACCGGTATCCTTACGGCCAGGATTCGTATGATCCATACGGAAAGAGAAATTATTGGGAGCGCCCATACATGTCTTATGACAGGATTGATGACACCCGCTACAGGGAACAAGACCTGGACCACGCGAGCTTCAAGGAAGTGTTGGGTACCGACGAGGGCCACAGGAGTCCCGTGAATCCTGTCGAGGGCAGGACCCAGGGCAACCTACCCTGGCCTGTTCATGTTGGGACTGAACTGAATGTCAAGGACAATGAGAGAATCACTGGGCGCAAGGTTTTTGGACAGCACGACGACTTTGAGCGGTTCCGTCAGAACTCCAGGATCGAGCGAGAGGGCAACGTAGATGCTAAGGATGGGGGCAATAATCGGGATTGATTGTAGGTTACTGTAGGGGAATTATTTAGGGTTTAAGGATATTTCGAATGGAGGGGGTTACCAATGCTTGAGATTTTTTTGATTCGACTACTTGCTGAGGGAGAGGCTGCTCTGGTTTATGTACGTTAATCAATGACTGAACGGAAACATAAAATTTTTACTGTTACTGGAGAAGAGTATTTCCGCGGTTCTTCATATATTTTTAATTTTTTTGTCAGAGGATAATTGTAGCGGATTTTATACAACGTTTGTATCGGACACAGTATTTTTATGTATTCAGAGAAATAAATACATGTGAATCACAGATCTTATGGTTTTTTTTTGTTTTTGCTTCCGAATTGAAACCTTGTATTTAACCGATTTTGAAGATCAATTTTGAGAAAACTCGACATAAATACGGTAAAACTTGCAGTAGCTGCAGAGATATTACACCTTTTCCATGAATGTATTTCCTTGAATATCACTTGAACTACTCAACGGATTTTTTACATGCAAGATCGTCCGCGCGTGCTTCGCGGATTTTTCTCGATATTATTTTTCTATCGAGAGCTATTTAACATTGAAAATTGTAAACAATGTCCTTGAATATGACGCCATTTTCAATTTTATAGTGTTGGCATTTTATGAATGTGTTAATATTAGCTGAGGTTTTTAATAAATTGACCGTTCAGTTGATGATGAATTAAATAATCACCCACTTGTCCTACCGCAGAACGAAATTTTAGCTTTCATCGGTAAATTTCCTTCGACTCTGTTCAGACAGATTTCTGCAATCTAATACAGAAATCTTCCTTACCACCCCTGCCTCTCGAGAAATATCGAGTCCATCCTCTAGCGCCCTCTACCGGGGGCTCCCAGAGCCCGTCCCACCTGAATTACAGAGTCAGTAATTTTTTCGGGTTTAAAAAACTCGAAAAAAATTGAAAAACAATTGTCTCGCGTATTAAATCCACCAGATTCTCTTCAAGAGCTTCATAAAATAAACACAATAATCCAAAAATCGGTTACACGAATCGAAAATCCTTAGAGCGTGAAGCTGACCGATCAATTTAGTGAATAGCCCCGAAAGTGCCGTAATGCAAAAGGTGGCCTGACGAGGGATAAAAACCGTCGGACGGCATTTACCGAGAGCCATATGGAATTTGGACCCGAAAAATAGTCCCGTGCAGGAAATTGCTAACGACTTAAACGCCGGGGCGTTGCCCAGGACCTTCTCATTCAGGTCCTGCGAAACTCTTTCCAACATCACGAGGGATTGTGATGGATGAACCCCAGGGACTATGTAATTTGGAGGCGTTATGTGTGTACCATCGATGGACACGTAGGTGTTGCCCCAATATGACGCTCTCCATTTTTTTCCCTCATCCCGTATCGTTGCTCCCACGACTCCTCATGTCCTGGCTTTAACCCCAGGACACAGCACCTGTTCGTTGAGATGGAAAAAAAGTGATCTTTCAGGACTGAAAGACTGAAAGACCGAAAGACCGAAGAGGCCATCAAATTCTCGATCACGATCGACACGTCGTCGATAATTCATAAATCGAGACTGTTCTGACACATTCAGGGAGTCGCAGAACATGAAATTATAATAATACGATATTGGCTAGGTTCTGACTGCGATTAGTCTGTCCAGTGGATTATATTCCAAACCCATTTTATACATATTTTTTTTTTTTCACTCCAAGGTTTTCTTTTTCGCTAGGATGCACCCTCCGGCCAGCCGACGTCATGATAAATGACCAAATCCTCATGTAGTTTTTAGCCGACCGCGAGTTTCTCTCTCGTTTTCATTTTGCTTTGTTTATTTCACTCTGTTTCTTTCTCGTAAGCGTTTTCGCTGTGCACCGAAGGTCGATGCCACAATTTTGTTGTAAATCACTGTAAACGTTGACGTAAACATCGGGGTAATTAGATACACTTACCGGGATGTGCGGTGGGTTTTCATGACGGGGAGGGAAGAGGAATCCGCTTCATCTGGAAGGTAAGGAAAAACTTTATTTTAGAAACAGTGATATTTTATCATTTGTCGGGGGGGTTAATTCAGAATTAAAGTCATACTCTGGAGTAAATGTCAACGGAGTAAATGTCAGGGGGTTGTTATTTACGGTGAATTGAAATTAAGAAGCTGGTGATTTTTTTTTTTATCCTCAGAGCGGTTACAGCGTAAATCCATCGTGGGGGTGTTCTGCCACGAGAAAAAAGAAAATACCCTTCGGCTAATTTCGAGACTCACTGTTGTTTATTGCCGAATCCTTTTAGCTGGCGTGGGATTAAGAGAATGGGAGGGGTTTTCTTGGACGAACGGTGAGGAATTAAAAGATAAGTATGGGACAAAATGGGTGTGATATTAAAAACGCTAATCACCCCTGTCTCGGGATAACGACACTCGCCACTCAGGAGAATCCTGTGCAACCCCAAGTTTTAATGGCTTCATTCTTTCTGGGTGATGCTTTTCTTTTTTCTCCGGGGGATCTTTCTCTCGGTCCTGAGAGCTTCATACCACCTTGGGGACTGGCTCGTTAAATCTCTCGCCCCTCATGTGTCTTCAGACGTCTTATTTGGAATGGAGCTACTTCGGATTGCGTTATATTTTACCTTGTGGATTAATACCCCAGGTAATCCATCGATATTTATAATCGTCAATTGCACAATTCGACCAAGTGACACTAGTGCAATAGTGCGCAAAGGAAATTTTTCAATTGCAGTGAAAAAAAATGAAACTCTGAAATCAGCTGCAGTCTTCTCGAGAGTAAAATGAATTTAATATGAATTTTGAAGGTTCATTTAACTGCCCTCAAAATCGATGAACCTGTACACCTTATAATTTAATACAACTCGGTGCTTTTTGGGCCATCCAGTTTAATGGAAAAATACGTTCCGGCCAATTTTAACTCGGGGATCGCGGAGTTGTCTCGTGCGAACAAAAAATATTCGATTCAAGGGAAGACGGAGAGAATAAAAAGAGTGCCAGGTTAATCCGTAATAGGATTATAATGCTGGGTATATGTCGGCGTGTGTTGGTGGGGTACGGGGGAACGCGGGCGTGGCGTCGGGTTCACTTCCGCGAGCCGAGGATGCACATTTATGGAAATTAATCCACTTTTTATACCGGAATAATTAGTCCATCTGCTCGTTGACTTCCGTGATTCATTAATTACCCAATCATTGCGTCAGTTGATTACCGAGTTTCGCGTTATTCATTGAATTACGACTGGTATTCGACGGGTATGTCAACTGGCTCGTCGATTCGGTGGAAAAAAATTTCTCTCGTTATAGCGCCCAAGGTTTGATTAACAACAAACGCCCATGCGTTATGGACCATCTTTTTTTTTATTATTATTCTCCTCTTTGTCTATCCCTTCGAACCATAAAGAGAGAGAGTAACAAGCAAAACTCTCTCCTGAACGTAAATATGTCTCGGCTCAGTTATATCTTCATTATAAAGGCACGATGGGCCCTTGAATGCAGAGGAGTTAAGCAACTCCTTTTGCGAAATGGTGAGCAAGAATTATTAGGTATCACTGGCCTCGGCTCAGCGCAAATAATTGGCGTCCAAATAATTCCGAGTGATTCTTTAATTTTTTTTCTCATCCGTCGCTGCAATTAATCCGTCAATTCGATGAATTTTCCACCTCGACCTCTATCCCGATAATTAACACAATGAGAAAAAAAAAAATATGAAAAATATAATGCACAAGTGTTTCCGTTGATAGTAGATTTTCTCCTGGAAAGGTGAATATGAAACCTTGAGGGGAGGATTCTTGAGCTCCTCGACTTCCGGTTGCGAGGCGAGCTAGTGTCCCTAATTACCGTGTCGGTTCATGAATACGATTGCTACGTAGCCGCGGTTTTCATATATCCATGGTGTACTCGGGGCACGGAAGCTAGCGTGGCGTCACTCGGTTGTTATTCGTTCACCTCATGAATTTATGTATCTGCATTCCCCAACGCAATTCCAAAGTCATACCCCCACGGATAGTCCATCCGAGGTATTCTGAATAAATTCACGTGACGATTTGAATGGTAGCACATCCAATTGTCCTCACCACCCTCCACAGGTGAATATGATCACGACGACGATCGTGTCCCAGGGAAGGAAATGACAGTGCTCGATTTACCATATTAGCGTTAATTAAGGCAATTATGTCTCCTGTGAGCACGATAGTGTGTCCGTTGACTCTTGGTTCATCCATATTCAACAGCCCATCCAGATCGAGCCACTTATCTACCTATAACTCATCAGCTGTGATAAATCCTCAGTGATTTGATTGAGTGGCTGTCCCACGTTGAATAAATAAAATAACACAAATGCCGGATTAATGAATTGATATGGGCGGGTTGTTAAAGATACTGGTGGGCACCAAAAGGGGGCTGAAAGGAGAGGATATACCTATACCAATGCTGAGAGAAGGGGGTTGCAGAGGTTGGAAAGGAGAGTCTAGCTGCAGCTATGACCAATGGCAGCACGGGGACAGGAGCTGTGCGCGGCCTCTCTGCCGTATCGATCCCGACAAACTATACCCTCTACAACCCCTGGTGTACAGTCCTCTCCCGGGGTCACCTCATCCGTCCTACCCCATTCCACTCCTATATACACTCTCCAACCGGTGAATCTTCGTCTCTGCTTTTTCCTATCCCTCTCCACCCCCCCACGGTCTGTCTCACCCCACACCACCCATTCCACCCATTCCACATCCAACTTTGGTCTTGTTACCCGTTCATCCGGCCCTCCATCTAAAGATCCATCTTTCCTACGGTAGTCCCTGGAGATATCCACCTACACCGATAACACTATCACTATGAGGAGAATTCGTGTCTATGATGGGATAGTGTTGGAGCAAGTGGTGCACCTGTTTTCTTCATTTATTTAATCATATGGAATTGTGAGGGGTGAGAACAGTTGGTGGGGACTCTCGGTGCCGGTGGACACCAGGAGGTCGTGATGGAGTTTTGAGAAAACGGGGGATGGAATGCACACGATCCGTTGAATTCATGACAGCCCATTTTTAAGACACGGGATTGCAGATTCTCGGGGTTAAATTCATTGGTATTTTTCTGGAGATACGCTTGCGCACAGGTAGATTATCAGGGAGTTGGTGATATTTATATGTCACCAAGAGGTTGGAATTGTCGTGCGCGCAACTCTGGTGACACTATCAGGTTGGCTCTTCGGACATGCGTAATCCGGTGGCCTATCGGTGGCCGGGATTATTAAAATTTGTCGAGCCAATGAGAAACGTCGCCAAATCGAAGTGCCTCCCTCGATACCGGTCTCCAGTGTCACTGTCGCTGGTTCCTGGAGTT